TGGTAGAATGATACCTTATCTTCTAGTAGTAATTACTATAATTACTATAAATATTAAATGTCTTTAATAATTATAAATTTTGGTTAAAACTAATTGTCACTGACGTTTTCGTTTTTCGATGTCATTAACTATATCATTGCTGGAGCATTTAAGCAGCTAAATCCTTTACAAAGTAAACATGCTATGAAACAATTTAAGCCACTTTTTCTACACTCACAAGTAGTCACAGCCAGTTTTATATGAACAAAAAATCATTTTTAATAAATTTTCAGGAATTTTCATTGTAATTTAGCAAATTTATTTTTACTCTTTTTATAAGAGTTGTATCATATCCAATTAATGCATATAAGAACAAAATGTGCTTCTTACACATTAAGAATGTTCAAGGCTTTAATTTTTGAGGGTACTGTTCTTTTTGCTAGTTTGAGAAAATAAATTTCTCTATGGGGAAGTGTTAAAGCTGTTAATAAAACTAACACTCCAGTATCTTCAGTAACAACTACGTACAATGAGATTTTCTTATTCAATTAATTAGATTAATTGCTGTTTGTGTAATTAATTCCTTAACATTTCGATGAATCTACTTTTGTTATTTGCTCTTTGCAAGAAACTTTTCTTGGCGAATTTTTAGAGACATTTCAATCTGTTATTCTGTTGAGACATTATTCAATGATCGGCGATACCATTTATGTATCTAATTTAGTGCAGTTGATGTTATATTCTTCAAGATATTGAAAATATAAAATGGGGGAAGATTTCAAAAGGTTTTTACTTTATAGTATACGAAATTCAAAAAAATCCGGAAGCATTCAAATCGGTACATTATAGCTGAATTACGAAGTATAAACCTAATTGCGCTAGACTAAAATCAGAAAAAAAATCGTACTTTCGGTAAGAGTATATATATTTGCGTAATATATTATAAATCTAGTGAAATTTGTTGCTAACGGCAGTGTATCAATTATTTAAACGGTTCTTAAAAAATAATTTCCATTTATATTAATATACGAAGGCTTAAATCTTTATGTGATGAAGTTTATTTCTTGCGCTATTTTTAAGAAATGATTTAAGTTCAGACGAAATACTTCTACCCTAGAAGAACAAAAAAGCGTCGTTAAAACTTATCTCCAAGGGAATGTCATGATTGTAATTTTAACAGTTCAAATTAGCAAAAACCTACTAAATTTATTTACAAATTGCCGAGTAATGTAAATTTTTAAGTAACCGTTACTTCTTTCGAAGAATGGCATTTTTTTATCGTATTACGACAAGGTTACTAAGAAGAAGCAATCAACTTGTTCGTTATCAATCCGGAGCTCCTGTGCTCGGCGGAATTCCAATTGGTCATCCTTGTCCACCACCACCACCCGAACCGGACCCATGTTATGAAAAGAGCGTCAAGGGACTTGTTCTTGGAGTATATAATAAGCCTGAAGATTGGGAATACAGAGGAAAATTTACACCGGCAGCAGAGAAATATAACAGACTTGTATGTGGCAGACTACGAAGTCTCATGGAGATATCTCCAATACCGGAGTTGGGCGAAGTTAGAATTTATTTTGACATAGATACGACATTTGGCGCTGTTGCTTTGGTTGGTCTTGGACGTGCGTGTTTAGGTTATGATGTCTTTGAACAAATAGACGAAGGTAAAGAAGCAATACGTATAGCCGCTGGGCAGGCATGTCGGGAACTACAAAAGTTAAGACTTCGAAAACTATATATAGAAAGCTTCGGTCATGCCGAGTCGGCTGCAGAAGGAGCAGCTTTAGGTGTTTGGGTGTATCAAGAAAAGAGACGAAAAGAAAAACAGCTTTTAATTCCTCAATTGGAGTTACATGATGATTGTGATTGGACAGGTTGGCAAATCGGTCTCCAAAAAGCTGCCGCACAAAATTTAACGCGACAGTTGATGGATACCCCTAGCAATTTAATGACCCCCACGTCATTTGCACAAAATGCCGTAGAAATTCTTTGTAAAGCAGGTATTAATGTGGAAGTAAAAGTAAAAGCATGGTGTGAGGCACAAGGGATGGGATCGTTTCTAGCAGTTGGTCAAGGGTCATGTGAGCCTCCAATTTTCATGGAAATTAGTTATTATGGAGCATCTAAAGATGAGAGACCTGTAGTTTTGATAGGGAAAGGGGTAACATTTAATAGTGGCGGTCTAAATTTAAAATCACCTGAAGAATTGGAGTTAATGCGAGGTGATATGGGAGGTGCGGCTAACGTTGTGGCTGCTACTAGGGCCGTTGCAGGTCTGCAATTACCAATTAATATAAGAGGATTGATACCTCTTTGCGAACATATGTTGGGATGTGCTGCCCTACGTGCTGGTGACATTTTGAAAGCTGCAAACGGCAAAAGTATAGGCGTAGACGATACTGACAGTGCTGGAAAATTAACGTTGGCTGACGCATTGGTGTATTCTCAGAACTTTTGGCCACGTTTTATCGTATCAGTAGCAAGTGGTCCAAAAGCGATTACACGATGCCTAGGAGGCGCTGCATCAGTTGTTTTTACAAACTCTGAAGCCCTTTGGGAATATATGCTGGCTGCTTCGATGCATACTGGTGATAGGGTATGGCGTTTTCCTCTGTGGAAATACTACGAACATGCCGTAACGAGATATTCCGATGCAGATTTACGATGTCCAGGTAAAGCAGGAGGCGGAAGGGGTTGTAAAGGTGCGGCTTTCTTAAATCAGTTCTTACCCTGTGGCGATTGGATTCACCTTGATATTACCGGCGTTAATTGGACAAATGGTAGAATGATACCTTATCTTCAACGGGGTATGACAGGTCGGCCATGTAGGACGTTAGTAGAATTTTTATCACAGTTAGTATGTCACCGTGAGTGAATATTTTACGTGATTTGTATTGTGTAAGGCTTAAAATTACAGTTGTAACGTGACATAAAATTGTAGTACCTACCTACTGCATATTATTGTAAATTGTCTTCATGCCAATGAAAATATGGTACTTATTAAGAAATTATTTTAAAAATGTATTGTCTTTTGATAAACGATAATAAAAAAGTTTTTATTTTAATGTGGTGGTTCATAAATGAAGTATTGTTTAACAACAGTAAAATGTTTTTACAAGTAATAGCTGTGTGGGCAATGTGCAAGATTATCAATTGGTTTATGAATTGTTTTTTAAAGATGTCAATAGTATTATGTCGATAAGATGGAAAGGGGGTGGGTGTAGTAAAGATAAGAAAAATATTGAATGGTTAAATGTAAAAAGGTAGAATTTGACACTTGTTGCAGAATGGTTATACAGGGTCGTAAAAGTAATCGATCTGTTAGAAAAAAAAAGATTATTCTCATTATAACTGGACTTGTATATTCTTTATATAAACTAGTCTGGCAAATAAATAGAGAAATGAGTCATCATGCTAAACAGGTAGAAACGATCTAGAAATTAAAAATTCCAGTGGTGTAGTGTACTATATATTATATTTAAGGATGATCATAATTGATTACAATTTTAATTTTTGTTTGTCGTTCAGATAAATGCACATTTAGGCGTATGTCCACACTTTTCCGACAGTATGTGCTATGTTCAGAGTTTACCCACCCTTCACCCAAGTAATACATTATGCGATTTGGTGGCGGTACTGCGCAATCGTTCGGAGATACTTCTCGACAAAACAATTTCTGGTTTTTCGAATAAACCTGCTTTTCGATTGTGTTTTGAATATCGAAATTGGAGTTTTTGTAACAATTTGCGTAACTGCTCCCGGTTCATCGATGGAATCAACTCATTCTCGTTGATTTTACGCCACACGGTGTCAAGAGTAGGAATCTCATTTTTAAAATAAAATGAATGCACTGTTTGTCGTACAGCCTTTTCGCCGTCATAGTCAATCACTATTTGTTTTTCTTCCACGTGCCTTTTTTTTTTTCACGTGCAATTCTGAAAATTGTCGAAGAAGACACCTTTGTCATGCTTTTCAGTAACGCTACTGAAACCTTGTTTGTTTAGCATGCCTGTTCAAATGATAGTGGAATAAGTAAGCAATATAGTAGATAATGTCTTGACCAATCACGACTCGTTCGTTTATTTTTTATTACACTCTTTAATCGGAACAATTTCAATAAATATTAATATGTCACATTAAAAGGTTGGGTAGAGTCCCCATCATAGTCTCCATTGTTCAGCCCTGGCCATAATTGTTCATGGTCTTGCATTATATTCTCCGCAGTTGCACAGCTTCCATTTAGCCAAACAATTTCGTTTATTATTTTTATATTATAAACATTGTCGGGATGTTTCCCATATCTTTGAATATGAATACTTTCCCTAGAGCCTAGACACAGTAGAATGACGTCACCTTTCATGCCGGTAAGCTAACAGATCGTTTTTTAAAATAAATTATTATCAAACGATCGACTTACGAGAAACGCACTTGTACTTGTAGCCGTGTAGTCATGCAAATATGACTTTTGAGTATTTAAATCTTAAACAAATTAACAGCTTATTTAATTTGTTTTTTGACTGTTTGATACCTTTTGATATAATTTTGTTGACACATTAATTAACACGGCGAACATAATTCAATAACTAAACTATTTCAATTGAAAGTATACTTATTTCAACAGAAAAAAGCACATCTATATATGATACCAAATTTATATGGAATTACTGAGTGGGGTCTTATTAGGTGTGATTGTCCTTTCGTTAATTAATGTTTTTTGTACATTTCTACAGATCGTCCAATAAATGAGAGGGAATTAAAGTTCAGTTTGGTTCTACTGAAACAAGCAGTGTGTCTGGATGGTGTGATCTTTCGTGGACTATATGTATTTTTGATTAGCTGTTTTTGTCTTCGCCTTGCAACATTGTGCACCATGATTATGCAATAGTTAATTTTCAATCGATTAGTGAGATCAACTGAAAATTTATTCAAATTCCAATGCAATAACAAATTTTCTGCAATGGTATCCTCACTAGATTTGGTTTGCTTTTCACACCTGCAAACTTTGGAACTACAGTCTACAGTTAGGGAAGGTGAGAAAACTTGATATAATTAATTGTAATTGCTCATACTGAGGTTTGTAAATCATAAAGCAAAACGCACATTTAACTCAATTCTGTAAAACGCGGATGAAACTAAGTACGCGATTGGTTAAACCGTCGTAGACATCAGATTTGATGCTTCTGATTGGCGTTTGCCTACGTCATCAGTGTTTAGTGCAGTAGCTATCGCAAATTGGCGACAACCATGAAACGCTCTCGGTGCGTTCACAGTGTTTTGTAGCGGTAGGATATTTTTTTACGTGTCGTTTAAATTCAACTTGTTGACCTATTTTTTTTCTACGTGTAATACCCTGAAAGGTTATATTGATTGATTCATACTATATATTATAATTTTTCGCAATTATACACAGTAAATTAAATTTTCCTCGTAGCAGATGTTTCTATGAATTTTATGCATCTATGAGATACGACACGCCTCATCGTCATTTTAAAAGTAAGAACGAGTCAAACCCTGATAATGCATAAAAAATATAAAAATAAAAGTAATGTATAAATGTTATTTATATCTAAACTAAAACAAACAGTTTAGTCGATTATCCAAACTTAATATAACTTGTAATTATTTTTCTTGTATTTTTTGTTAATCATGGTTTTACGTATAACATTTAATTCGTTCTCAATTCGACTGGATTATTTTTTATGTGTAGTTATGTATCGCTATTTCTTTGCAAATTGTGAACCGATTTTGATGATTTTTATTAGGTATCAGATTTTTCCCAATTATACAGAGTAAATTAAAATTTCCTCGTTGCAGATGACCAGATGTTTCTATGAATTTTATTCATCTATGGATCTATGAGATACGACATGCCTCATCGCCATTTTTAAAGTAAGAATTTTACAATTTTACTTGCATTTTTGTAAGTATTTTTATTCTATTTAATTGTTTATTTACTTCGTACAATAGTTAATTCGTTATTTCTGTATATCTACAGATTTAAGATAAATGAGTGAGCAGATTGAAGTTTATTTTGATGCTACTAAAAAAGCAAGTCCTCTATCGTGTTTTATCTGTTACGTTATCATCTTGGAGAATTGAAGTTAATTAAGGTGAGCATACATGCTATATTGTATATGTAGTGTATTTATTTGATATCAACAGAAAAAAAGTTGAACATTACTTTAATTAGGAAAGCTAAAGTAATTGTATCTGAATACTTTTGAAGTAGAAATTTCTTTACGCACGGTAGGGTAAGTTCGTTTCATGCATGTTGCTATGTAATGAATTCATGTAACCCGGCATGTATAGTGTAGCCCTAAGAAGATGTATGAATGTATTTGTATGTGTGCCTACACTTTATAGTCGAAACGACGCCACTGACGCCAATTCCTTAACCCCTATCCCGGTATGTTTGTGTGTTTAAAGAAGTTTCACTCCAGTAGCATGTTGTATAATTAACGTATTTTTTTTTCATTAATTTCATTTTATAGGAACATTATAAAACTCGAGATGCCATAAAATTACGGAGCATCAGTTGTATCAGTCTTCATTTGCTCCAGAATGTAGATGTCTACTTATGGTCTTAAAGAAAGCATGGAAGTGGCTTTTTTCCATTGGGAATGACAAAAAGTGTGCTGTTGCTGTAGGAGAAATTCATGACACTGAACTGGTAAATAACTATCACTTAGAAATAGTAAATGAGATCCCAGAAACCTCTATCTCTTAGACATTTCTAACTTGCTTTAATAGACAACTTTTAAACAGTGTGTTTTAGAAAGTGGTAATTAATTTTTCTTGCCCGTTTCTATAGATTGTCTAACAAAAAAAAAGAAGATTGCAGTTAATTTTGATGTTACTGAAACAACCGATGCTTTTGACGTCTTCACCTAGCAACATTATGCAGTTAATTTTGGCCCTGAGATTGGGAGGCATTTGGAAAATTAATTTTAAAGCCACTGAAACAACAACTTGTCTGCAGTGGTACCCTTCCTAGATTTGGTTTGCTCAATTCACTGATGAACTTTAGAACACTACTTTTTATAGTTAACTAAGGTGAGAGTACATAACATAATCAATGTTAATTGCTCTTTATTAAACTGTTGTGACATTTCTTTTAATAATTATATATTCTCCACAGTATAAATTGATGTTATCGTGCGTCTATATTTACATTATTTTAACCATGTATTATGCATGTTGTTTACTGAGGATGCTAAAATATTGTTTCATTTTATAGGAACTTTGGAAGAATTCCAAATTCTGTTAAATTGTGGAGTATTTGTTGTCTCAGTCGTCAATCACTCTAGAAAGTAGCTGCGCCTATGGTCCTAAAAAAAAGCATCAAAACGCCATTTTTCCATTGGGAATAGACAACTTTTAAGCAATATTTCAGCAGAATGAATGTGTAACTGATGATTTGATTAGTGTGAATATTACTGATTTACCTGCTTTAAAAGTGGTAATTGATTAATTCTTACAGATAAGAAGGAATTGGTGCTGCTGAAACAACCGATGCTTTTGTTGTTTTCACCTTGCAACAATATGCAGTTAGTTTTCGCCCTGAGAATGGGAGGCAAATGGAAATTAATTTGAAAACCACTGAAACAACAAATTGTCTGCAGTGATATACCCTAGATTTGCTTTGCTCATCATACTGGCAGACATAGGAACGCTACTTTCTACGATTGGTTAAGGTGAGAAAACAACGTAATTAATATATATTGCTCTTTATTAATCTATAGTGGCATTTCTTTTAAACTGTTAACTATTGGCCAGAGCATAGATTCATGTTTTGACGTGTGTATAGAATTTTAAATATCTATAGTCCACGGCATCTATGGTACGTCATTTAACGTTTATCTATTGGTCACAGTTTAAATTGAGTTGCGTATCTGTGGAGTTTTAATAATTATGGCCAACATTATAAATTAATGCAATATGCATCTATGATTATATCTATGTATGATTACCTCACATTTATGTGTCAAATTTGGTCTGTCATGTTAACTAGACGCTTGTCACCATTTTATGATTCAACTGCTTTACTTGGTTTTTGGTGCGTGTTTTTAGGTGTGTTTAATCCCATTCTAAATTAATAGTGTAATTAATAAGTTTTTTTCTCATTTCTACAGATCGTTCAACAAATGAGGGGGAGTTGGAAGTTCAGTTTGATCGTACTGAAATAACCATTGTCTACATAGGTGTGGTCTTTGGTGAACTACATCCTTGATTTGCTGTTTTTGTCTTCGCTTTCCATCATTATGCAGTTAGTTTTGAACTGATGAGTGAGAGCAAATGAATATTTATTTGATTTCCACTAAAACAAGGAATTTTCTGCATTGGCATTATTCCTAGATTTGGTTTGCCTTTCACACTTGCAAACTTTGGAACATTACAATCTACAGTGAATTAAGGTGAGAATACAATCAATACTAATTCTCTTTATTGAATTATTGTGACATTTCTTTTAATAATTATCTACTCTCCATAGTATACATTGACATTATCGTGCGTCTATATTTACATTATTTTAACCATGTATTATGCAGGTTATTTACTAAGGATGCTAAAATACTGTTTCATTTTATAGGAACATTGGAAGAATTCCAGATTCTGCTAAATTGTGGAGTATTTGTTGTCTCAGTCGTCAATCCCTCTAGAAAGTAGCTGCGCCTGTGGTCCTAAAAAAAAGCATCAAAACGCCATTTTTCCATTGGAACGGAGACAGTGTGCTGTTGTTGTAGAAAGGATTTATGACAATGAACTGGTATGTAACACTATCAATTAAAAATAAAATAGTAAATGAGGTCCCAGGAACTTCAATTGCTTAGACATTTATAACTTGCCTCAATAGACAACTTTTAAACAACATTTCAGCAGAATGAATGTGTAACTGATGGTTTGATTAGTGTGAATGTTACTGATTTACTTGCTTTAAAAGTGGTAATTGATTAGTTTTTCTTGCCCGTTTCTATAGATTGTCGTAACAGATAAGAAGGAATTGGTGCTACTGAAACAACCGATGCTTTTGATGTTTTCACCTTGCAACATTATGCAGTTAGTTTTGGCCCTGAAAATGGCAGGCAAGTGAAAATTAATTCGGAAGTCACTGAAAC